GAGTTAATGCTGGGAAAAATGTACGCATACTGCAATGCCTACTGAAAGAGCTGTGAAGGGTCTCATTCCAACCTAAGTCTGGTCATGATATTCGGATGGCTCCCAGGCTCAATAAATGACCGCTGCAGGAGGGGGTGGTAAGGAAGGGGCCTCATGGGCCCTGTCAGGAAGATCTCAGGAGCATGAAACTGTGGAGGAAGCATCAAACCCAGCACGCCTTGGGTTCCAATCCCTCTGTTTTTATTGTCCACTTGTCATAGTTCAGGAAGGTCATTTTTAGGTCTGTTTACTCTATAGAGTAAAGGACAAGATCCCTAAGTTTTAAACCATGTTCCGCAGAGGTGTAAGGGTCCACCTTAGCTCCTTGGGGCTGCCTTGGATGGGGTGAGTAAGTAGGATTCTGTGATTCTAGAACACAAGTTCCAACCCTGTTTTACCTAAAACAAATATGCTCTATGAGCCTTATACATCAGGGCTCTGCCCGAGGATTCACGTAAAAAAGGGTTCACTGCTAAACACAAATTTCAGAAACCAATGGACTAGACCAGTGGTCGGCAAACTCATTAGTCAACAGAGCCAAATATCAACAGTCCAACGATTGAAATTTCTTTTGAGAGCCAAATTTTTTAAACTTAAACTATATAGGTAGGTATACTGTTATTAACTTAATTAGGGTACTCCTAAGGCTTAGGAAGAGCCACACTCAAGGGGCCAAAGAGCCGTGTGTGGCTCGCGAGCCGCAGTTTGCCGACCACAGGACTAGATGATCTCTTTCCCAGTTCTCAGATACTATGATTCTATGGCCAACTTGCTCCAAGCTAAGAAAGTGTGGACTCCACTCAAAATGAAGATTTCAAAAACATAAACACCCTCATGCATTTAGGGAGGAACAACTGAAGCTTCCCTCATGAAGAGAAAGGTGAGGGGTTCTGACAGAGTGCGCCCCCTGGGCTTGCAGCTGCACACACCCCTCCTACTAAGCAGCCGCCCCTGAAAGCAGGGAGAGGAGGAGAAGTCTATTTGAGGAGCTGATCACATGACCCACCCAGCTTCAGCTCAATGGAAAACATAACAATAAACTCACCATTTGATCCAGGTGAAAGAGCTGTGGGAAGAAAAGCAAAGAACAACATAAACGCACATTGGGGTTGCTGTTAAACTGAGGAGCCAACAAAAAGTGAGGACTTGACGTGGGAAGCAATGCCCTTTCCAAGCTTTCAAGCTGCCCACCCTCATCCCATAGAAACACCAAAACACCAACAACGAATAGATCATTTACTTGTTTTTTTCTCTCAGAAATGAGTTATGGAAACCCTTGCAAAAATGCAATTAACATTTTTACACTGCTGTTTTACTTATAACTGGCAATGTTTCTTTTTTTTGGGGGGTGGGGGAAGAGGAGTTAATTACTCAGAACGATATTCTCTAAGAAGCAATAAGTATTTTCTACTGCCTAAAATGAAAATAACATATTATCTAGAAAGACTGAAAATTCAACAGCTCAGCTCTATAATAGCCCTGTAACCCATTAGTTGTAATTTGGAGTTTCAGCTCTAAAAGGCTGTATTTCACCCTTTTTCCACTTTAACCTTTGGATCAGCAATGCCAGAATGCTGTAGATACTGACACAGTAAAAATGCCTACTAACCGAATGATGAAACACTATTATGCGTGAGGTCCTGGCGTGTGTGAGGGTGATGGTAACACAGCTTCCCGATACTGAAACTGGATGCCTGAGAACACTGCCAGTGTTTACAGCTATTTCCAGTGACATCTACAGATAGGTTAGCTTATTTCTGGAAAAATCGTCCATCTTAAAAGCTTAGGATTTAGGGACTCTGAACTGTATCTCCTTCAATGCAACCACATACCTGAAAGCTTAGGCTGTGTCTTTTTCTTTTTGCTTGAAACTTTTAAGAACTCATCAATAAGCAAGTCGTTAGCACAAGCTCTCTTGTCAGGGTCTGGTTCAAAACACTTCAATATGAATGCCTTGGCCTCCGCTGACATGGACTCCGGGATCTCCGGGTGGACTTTAAACATTCCCACCTAAGAAACAGCACAATGGGGCTTCTGAGTGACATCTCATCCCATGAGCTCCCGGCATCATAACTGGGTCTCCTACTGTAACAAAATCCTGTATCATATACTACGAACTCATGGATTTTCTCAAAGGGAGGTAGGATATTTTTTCCGTAGGTTACAGAAAGTTTCCAGAGTGCTTTTGACATAGACAGAGTGATTAGCGTAAGACACTAAAGAGCACTCTAAAGTAGCAGTTCAGTCCTCAAGGCTTGAGGACACATTTGCACACCAGCGAGAAGAAAGGATGTTTTTAATTGGACCCTTGTGCTGGTCATGATAGTGATGTGCCAGGCACTGTGCTTGGCTTTTTCCATTTTCATTCAATGAATCTCATGAATCCTCCCAACAACCCAGTGGATTGAATATTATTATACTTGTTGCACCAATGAGGAAAATGAGGCTCAGAGGGGTCAGGTTATATGGTTATAAAAAGGCAAATCTGGGATTTGAACCTTTAATGCTTAAAATTTGTGTTCTTTCCTCTACTCCATAATTTATGAATATCTCCCCCATCTCAAACTGCCTACATTAAAAGATATTTAAAAACACATTAAATAAAATAGAATTTTTATAGCAATTCAACTTTCTTCTCATTGAGGCCATTCTAAAAAATGTTTTTTAATGTTTTCATGTATTTAGTAGAGAAAATTTTCTAAAGAAATCTTTTATGTTATATAGTTTATATAAGTGTATTATTACATAGGTAATATGTAATTGTTTGTAATATTTATATAGCCTTTACTATTCTAAGTGCTTTGCACATATTATCTCATATACTCCTCAAAAAACCCTCTACTAGATAGGTACTAAATTTATTCCCAATTTAGAGATGCGGAAACTGAGGTACAAGAAGGTTAAGTAATTTTCTCAAAGTCATCAACTAGCTTGACTGTGTTGGAGCCTGGATTCAAACGTTGTAAATCAGTGCCAGAGTCTACGCTATCTCGTCTAAAGCACATTTTATTATGATCCCTGCACTGACGGTAACAGCAGCATTTCAGAGTGAAGTCCTAAACATTGGTAAAAACTTCCGAGATTGGCCAAGAAGAGAAAGACATTCATTCATGTCAAAAAAGGAAGCTCTCATCACTCTTCAGTCTTGGTTACACTACTCATTTCTGTGTCAGCAGTATCCCATCACATCATCTTCAAGCTCAAAGTACACCAAGCTTTGTACAGAAGCAGAAGGTATGTAACACAGGGCCTCTCCTGAGAGGCTCTTCACCAATGGAAAAAGTGCTAGAGACATGGTCAGAGGCAGGGGAGAAAAAGAAGTTATCAAAAGCCTTCTGCCTTAGAGAACAGAAGAATGTGAGCTTTCCATCTCAGGAAACAAGTTCTCAGTTTATTTTATTTTTAATTTTTGTTTTCTAAAATATATTTTTATTGATTCCAGAGAAGAAGGAAGAGGGAGAGAGAGAAACATCAATGATGAGAGAGAATCATTGATCAGCTGCCTGCTGCATACCCCCTACTGGGGATTGAGCCCAAAACCCAGGCATGTACCCTAACAGGGAATCAAACCCTGACCTCCTGGTTCATAGGTCGACACTCAACCACGGAGCCATGCTGGCCAGGCCAAGTTCTCAGTTTAAACTTCACTCTGGCCTGGTGGTGTAGCCGTGAGAATTTCAAGGACTCGGCCACAGGTCACTGCTTTGCCCAGTCTCCAGATTTGGAAGCTGTAGCCTAGGGCTCTCTCAGCTCTATTTTGATATCAGATGCTCCCTATTTGGGCTGCTTCCCACTCCCAAAAGAGTTACTAATGGGCAAATTAAGAGGCTAGAAGAGTAATATCCTATATAATAAAAGCATAATATGCAAATTGACCAAATGGCCAAAGAGCAAAATGACCATCCAGGACCACGTTATGACACCCATTGGCGCCAGGCCAGCCAAGGTGGGTGTGATGCAATTATCAGGGGCCCGGCCATTGCCCCAGGATCGCCCCACAGAGGGAGGCTCAGGCCACTGGACAGCAGACTGTGGTGGGTGGGTGGCTCCTTGGTATCTATAGTAATAAAAGCATAATATGCTAATTAGACTGGAGAGCCGAATGGCCTTCCAGACGAAGCTGTGGCAGCAGGGCTGAGGCAAAGGTAGTTATGGGTGATCAGGCAGGCAGGCAGGCAGAGTGATTAGGGGCGATCAGGCAGGCAGGCAGGGTGGTTAGGGGAGATCAGGCAGGCAGGCGAGTGGTTAGGAGCCATCAGTCCTGTATTGCGAGAGGGATGTCTGACTGACATCCTAATGGGTGTCATAACGTGGTCCTGGATGGTCATTTTGCTCTTTGGCCATTTGGTCAATTTGCATATTATGCTTTTATTATATAGGATATTACTCTTCTAGCCTCTTAATTTGCCCATTTGTTTAGGGCTGATCCCGTGGGCCGAAACCGGCAGTCATACATCCCCTGAGGGGTCCTGGATTATGAGAGAGTGCAGGCTTGGCTGAGGGACCCCCCCACTCCCATGCACAAATTTCATGCACCGGGCCTCTAGTATGAGAATAAGATGTGTACTTAAAATAGCAAAACCATGCCTTTTTAAAATGGAGATGTTAAACTCTTATAATAAAGTAAAGGAAAACATTTATTTGGTTTAATACTTAAATAGATAAAAAATGTTCTTATATCTTCCTCCATGGAAGCTTTTTAACCTGTGTTTCCCAAAGAGCTTACACCATCTTCCATGGAGTGGTGTGTTCTTTACACTGCACTGTGAAAATGTGGTCAATGGAAGTTACACTGCGTGTCGCTTTATAGCTGAGAAAACTAAGATGGAGAGAGCCTCTTATGAGGCACCGACTGAGGGGAGTGAATCATCTTGAACTATAATATGCTCTCAGACGGTGCTCACTTACACTCCTTGCCTTCTGGCTAAAAGCAGATGGCATGCACACATGGAACAGCCAGCAGTTTTACCCATTGGTTTTTAAGATATTTAAGGTATACAAAATGTGACCTTGAACATTGCTGCTTGTGGTTCTCCCAGTTCATAAAAGGGCGGTTTCCCTGTGGCCATTTCGATGATGGTGCAACCCAAAGACCAAATGTCTGCTGCTTTCCCATAGCCTCTGGGTCCTTTGTCTATTATTTCTGGTGCCATGTACTGAAGGGTACCTGGGAAGAGTACAAACACAATCCTACTTCAAAAGAGAACATCTAATGACAGTTTCAATTCCTCTACATAAATAAGGCACTTTAAAAATATGATTCAGGTCTTAATACTGCATCCTTTTTGAATTCCAGTTTTTCTCTGCTATGAATATAAGAGAAAATAGCAGTTTTTATAATGGATTTTATTAGCGAGGTGAAAATAGTTTACCAATATTACCTGGATATGAACAGATATGTTCTCATTTCTTAAATAGTATAATTAAGGCATTATTTCATTAAGACCTCTTAGAAACTTCTAACAACTGGTCATTTGAGAACAACAGAGAATACACCAACACACGTTTTCTAAAATCTGTTTTTGAAGCACATGAAAACTCTCATTATGAATACTTCCAATCTTTTCCAAGAAAAGTCTAGGTCATTCATCAATTTCCTTAGATTTAGTTTTCTCAATTCCTGATTTGAATGCTTAGTTCTTCTGTTTTCTTTCTTATTTCTAAATCATAAGCATGCAGAGATTCTAAAAGGTATTGTCAAAAATAATGTAAATCTATAAATCAAATGTTTAGGACTTCTGCTATGTGCCTGTGGTCCAAGGAATAATGGGTTTAACAGGTCAAAGACAGGCTATGAGCCATCAGTACAGAGAAATCACCAGGTACAGAGTGAAGAATAAAATGAAAAAAAAGAAGAGAGGATATTTTATATAAAGAATAAGAGAG